TGTGTGTGTGTGTGTGTGTGTGTGTCAGACTAGTGGTGGGCAGGCATTGTCTCAGTAGATCTTTCTAAATGTTCTTCCATTTTTTCACCCAACATCAACCCAATTCTAATTATTCAGGATGCATGAGATTATATTGTAGTCCATGTATTTCTAAGAAAAACATTCTTACAAACTGAATTAAATCAATAAGAAAATAAAATGTATTTATATAATTTGAAAATATAAAAGTTAAATAGGAGTCCTGATGGTGCAGTGGTTAAAGTGCTTGGCTGCTAACCAAAAGGTCAGTGGTTCAAACCCACCAGCCACTCCATAGGAGAAAGATGTGGCAGTCTGTTCTTATAAAAATTATAACCTTGAAAGGGAATATACCCATGACCTTATATAAGGTTAGCAGATGATATTTCTGCATACCTATTTGTACGTGCTATAACAATGTCCATATAAATAGAACTAACAGGGTAAAGTTATGATAACTTCTTAGCCACAGTCAATCATCCTGATGGAGTGAGTTGCTGCACTTATGGACTCAGGACCATGGTTGCAGGGGACATCAAGCTCAAGTGACATAACATACTACACCAAAACGTTGTTCTACATCCTACTTTGGTGAGTAGCAACTAGGATCTTAAAAGCTTGCAAGCTGCCATTTAGATGCAACAATGTGTCTCTCCTCGTCCAAAGCAAAGAAGAATGAAGAAAACCAAAGACCCATGAGAATAATTAGTCCAAGGGACTGGTAGACTATGCAAACCTCAGTCTATATAACCATGAGACCAGAAGAACGATATGGTGCCTGGCTACCACTGTCAACCACTTGGAAAGGGATCAGTGAAGGAGATCCTAGTTAGAGTTAGAGGAACAATGTGGAACAAAACTCAAAATCATTAAAAAAAAAAAAAAACAGGTTTACTGGTCTGATAGAGCCTGGTGAGACCCCTGAGACTATGGCCCCTAGTTACCCTTCAGGCCTGGAACTGAACTCACTCTTGTGGCTTCCAGCCAAACAATAGACAGGCACACATGGTGAACTTGAGGCAGAACAATCAATCATTGGAGAACAGAATCATTGGAGAACAATCATTGGAGAACAGAAGGGCAGTATTTATTTGCTCAGGGAGATAGTTCAGGGAACAAAAGTATAAAGGAAAGAAGGACACAGGGAAGAAGTAACTACAGGGAGGAAGTGGAAAAAAGAGCTGTTATATTGTGGGGATTGCAGTCAATGTCATGAAACAAAATGTGTATGAACTGCTGTATGGAAACGAATTTGCACTGTAAACTTTCACCCAAATCACAATAAAAATAATAATATAATTAAAATAACAATAATAATGTGTCGGGGGAGGGGGAGTTACAGCCTTGGAAACCCTATGGGGCAGTTTTACTTTGCTCAATAGGGTTGCTATGAGTTGGAATCAACTACAGGGCAAGGAGTTTGTTTTGTGTTTTTAAAACTTAAACAGATTAAACAACTAGTTGCCTCATTTGTAACAGATGTAGCAGATCACCAGCAGTTACAGCAAGACTTCTATCTCACTGCTGTAATTGTGAAACAGAAAGAATGATTGCATGAAACAAAGGCCTTGGGATGAATTGGGCTCACTGAAGTATAAACTCTCATCTTACCTCACATATAATGAAATGGGTACAACTGTATTGAGAATAATAATGTATGACCAGAATGTTAAAAATCCTGAGAACACAGCATTCTTCTTGCCTTCATTCCAAAAAAGGAACGTTCTGAATTGGTCCCCAACTTGTTGCTCCCAGATTGAATTTCCTATTGCAAGAATAATTCCCAAGCATACCAGAAACCCAAAAATCTGAAATGAGAATAGAAGTCTGGTTAAGGTTAATTTTAACCCAAAACTAGTCATATCATCATGATCTAATTACACTTCTAGCTCTTAAAAAAATCATCATTTGAAAAGAAAGTTTATACAAAGTTCTTCTTATAATTAGTCATAGGAGTAACATTTAATATTTTTATGTCAGGAACTTGGCTAAATATTTTACTTACATTTTTCTTATTTAATTCTCCCATTGACTCTCAGAGAGAGAAAAATCCATTATCCATCCACAGTCTACAGATTCAAAACAAAATAAAATGGAGACACCAAGAAATTCAGGAGCCTGCAGGTGAGAGGGTGCCAGCAGTTCGCAATTGGCTGCTAACTGAAACGCTGGCGGTTCAAACTCATCTACCGACTCTGCAGAAAAAAGCCCTAGCAAACTGCTTCCATAAGGATTATAGCCAAGAAAAAACTATGGAGCAGTTCTACTCTGGAATACAAGTCTCCACGAGTTGCAGGCCAACTCAACAGCAGCTGACAACAGAGAAACACAGAACTTGTCTATGGCCACACAACTAAGACCTTCACATCCTCAACTGGTGATAAATGCACATATTTAAATGTTCTCTGGTGACATAGTGCCTAAGGCATTTGACTGCTAACCAGAAAGCTAGCAGTTCAAACCCACCAGCCACTCCTCAGAAGGAAGACTGGGCAATCTATTTCCATAGAGATACTGCCTGAGAAACCCAAGGAGGGGTCACTATGAGTCAGATTTGACTCAACAGCAGTGAGGTTTTAGTTTGTTCTGTTTTGTTTTTGTTTTTGTTTTGTGAACATTCTGCAAAATAAAAGAAAATGAGTTTTATCCACACTTAGGAGTTCAAGTTTAAAAACTAGCTTAAGTACCTTTAAAAGCATGGGTGATAAATTGTATAGTCATTCAAGTCATAAGAACTAAAGGAAAAATATATCAATGATTCAAGAACTATCAGACTAGTCAAGTCTCTTAGCTATAGATCTGGGTGCATGACTTGAGGCCGACAAGAAAGAAAAAGAAAGGTTAATGAAAACATTTCATGGCAGAAAGGGGATAGGAGAATAACCCACTGCCGAGGGGGAAAAGGGAAGTTTTCCTTGCCAGGCATTGAGTTTATGCTAATGGTGGTGGAATATTTTGGAAAAAGATAGTAACAATGGTGGCACAATATGAAAAATGTCATCAATGTCCTTGAGCTATCATTGTGGAAGTTGTTATGTTGGCGAATGTCTTGTTGTGTATGTTTTCACCACAATAAAAATAAAAACAAACAAACAAAAAACCCACTGCTGCCTTTCGATTCTGACTCATGGTTATCCTGTAGGACAGTAGAACTGCCCCATAGGGTTTCCAGGGTTTCCAGACTGCCTCATCTTTCTCCTGTGGAGCAGCTGGTGGGTACTAACTGCTGACCTTTTGGTTGGCAGCCAAATGCTTTAACCACAGTGCCACCAGAGCTCCCTAAAAAGTGGGAAGTAACCTGAAAATAGTTGGCAAACTTTTACAAAGACAGTCATTTTTAGAGACAAATTAACTAGAGAGACGGCAGTCAATCCTTTGTGAGTTCAAAATTCCAGCCCTGTGAAGGAAGATCACAAACTCAATGAACATGGTAAGACCTGAGTTGAATAAGGTATTATGGGAACTCTGTTCTGGTAAGTGTCACACTGTGTTAGGAGCTGAGACCAGCTAGTATGAGGGAGGAGTGAAGATAGACAACAGAAATGCATCACCTCCCCTGCCACCCCGTTCCATTTTTTCCACGAGAAACATATTTAGAAATTCTAGGACTCCTTTTTACTTTATTCTTTCATGGACAATACAGACACACAAGAAAACAAACCAAAACCAAAAACCAAACTCACTGCTGTGGAGTCGGATTCGACTCATAGCAACCCCTCTTTGGGTTTCTAAGGCAGTATCACTATGGAAGTAGATTGCTCAAGCCTCCTTCTGAGGAGTGACTGGTTGGTTTGAACCACCAAACAAATTATTTTAAACTACAGTAGAAAACTATGTATTAGAGAAAAGTGGAATTATGAATCCCTGAAATCTTACCAATTCTGTACCTGTACCACAGTATCCTCTTTTCTCTTAATTAGTTGACACTGTAAATCAATTGAACTGAATCACTTTAAGAACATTAAAATTGTTAATATTTGCCATTAACCCATTGCTGTCGAGTCAATTCCAATTCATAGTGACACGGTAGGAAAGAGTAGAACTGCCCCCAGAGGGTTTCCAAGGCTATAAATCCTAATGGAAGTGGACTGCCACATCTTCTTCCCATGGAGTGGCTGGTGGGTTGGAACTGCTGACTTTTTGGTATGCAGTAGAGTGCTTAACCATTGCATCACAAAGGTTCCTTGACTCGATATTAAATGCTCTAATTTAAGGATGCACTCTGCTTTGAACTCCTTGGAAGATCATTCTGTTTTCTAATATGAAAAGTGGGACCAGTCCCTGCAAAACCAGTAATTGTACTCTGAGGTGGGTAGATATATAATCCTCTTGCAAGCCCCAAAAATGGGCTCAGGGCCATTTAAATTAGGAATTCTACAAGTTAGGCACAGGCTCCAAATGGGCATGTTCCTTTAGCCCCACAGGCCCTGCCAAAAGGTGAGAATATGTCTGGAGGAACACAGGTGCCCCAGGTATGAGGACAGTACTAAGAGCAAAACAGCCTAGCCAACATTTTATACTCAGTAATATTAATTTTCTTTCTTACTTATTCAGAGTCCAATTATTTCATATCAGTCAAGCAAATATATACTGACTTCAGATTCTTTATGACTGAGGTCTGTGATGGGGCAGGTGGAGAAATGTTTCTAAGCCATGGACTTCAAATTTAACATCTACTTAAGAAGCAAAGCAATATTACACAAAAGTGAGAAAACAATCAAATCAGCAATATGAAGTTGCACAATATTAACTAACAAAAGGATGGGATGCAGAGGACTATTTATTGTACATGAGTGGTAGAGAAAACCACTTTGATAATTCAGAGGCAAAAAATAATGATGGGCTAAGGAGGTTCAGAAGCTTTCACCAAGGAGCACTAGGGACCTGAGCCTCAAAGGATCCATAGCAGGACTGGCCACATAAACTGCAGAGCCCAGTGCAAACTAAAAATGCAGGGCCCCTTGTTTATAAATAATTCATAATTTGTAGACAGTGACAGCAGATCTTGAAACTAAGAATGGGTTCCTGTTCATAAGCTATGTAGAGAGGACTTGAGCAGAAGTAAGACAACAAAAAGACCAAACTATCTTTAAAACTATGTTTTACTTTTGTCTTCTTCTTGTTGTTGCTATGTCGGACCCAACTCATAGTAAGAATAAGGAGAATTTTCACCACACGAAGACCTCCATAAGCACCAATCTACCTCTCACAAGAAACTTTACCAAGGTTGAGAAATTATCATAATATATGAGATAGAAGAAGTCTACCTAAGCCTCAACTGTAAAATCACCAAAACACAAACTATTCAAGGAGAATGGAGTTTCTCAGAAAATTCTCAGCAAAATGTAAGAAATATATTAAGATAACAATGACTACTGATATTACCTAATTTTGTTAGAGTAACTTACCCACAATACTAGAGTATTCATCAATCTATCAATGCTTGTCCTTTTAAATTTAGTTTTACCACTGTTCTGCATTAGTTTAGTGTCCGGACCTGCCCAGGGGAAAAGAAAAAAGTAAATAACGTATTTGAAATAATTGGTTATTATAATTTCTCAATCATATCAAATTTTCCTAGAAGGAAACTACTATGTTTTCCAAAATAATTTAACTCTTATTAAGAGCCAAGACCATTGTTAAGTTGTGTCAGTCTCACCTCATGGTTTAACCCTGCAAACTGCAAGGTAATTGGTTTCCTTTGAATAGGATAAATCCTAGCAGAACTTGTAGCTGAAAGGTTTAAGAAATGTTATTCTTCAAAAAAATCTATGCATGAGTGTAAAAATAGTATTTTGTTGTTTGAAGTAGTTAAGGATAATAAAGTCAATAAAAGTGAGAACTAATTTGGAAATGTTGAAAAGAACACTATGTTAAAAAGAACAATTCAGAACACTAATGTTCAAAACAGAAAGTTAAGAAAGCAAACTGAGTCCATTTCCCCAAAAAGCTTTCAGAGTAACTCCAAGAAACTCATCAGCAAACAATTTAAACTTTATTTTATATAGAATACTGGTATACGATATGCAAGGGGCCCTGATGGGAGCAATGTAAGCCCTTGGTTGTTAACTGAAAGGTTCTCAGTTTGAACTCACACAACGGCTCTGTGGGAGAAAGACCTGGTGATCTGCTCCCATAAAGATGACAGCCAAGAAAATGCTTTGGGACAGTTCTACTTTGTTACCTGTGCTCACTATGAATCAGAATTGACTAGATAGCAACAACAACAACACATATGCGCTTTTTGAAGAGGCAAGAATCGTCTTAAATCTTGTGATAGATTATTTCAGGTAAATACAATACATTATCTCATGATAGATAGAGTTACCAATGATTTCTTCAAGGAATTCCAAGAATATTATTAACTGCCTTAGAAATTAGATATTAGTCGATTGTTGTTGTTGTTGTTGTTGTTGTTATGTGCCGTCGAGTCGGCCCCGACTCATAGCGACCCCTCCTTGGGTTTCTGAGGCAGTGTCACTACAGAAGTAGGATTGCCCAACCTTCCTTCCAAGGAGTGGCTGGTGGGTTTGAACCGCCAGCCTTCTGGTTAGCAGTCAAGTGCTTTAGCCACTATGCTACCAGAGCTCCCATTAGTCGATTAGCAAAGGAGAATATTAAGGAACTTCCTGTGGACAAACACAATGCTAAATAGATGCAATTAGATTTTAGTTATAACTGACTTCTCTAGTGTTCCTTCTCCACATTGTCTTTTTATGATGATTAATCCAGACAGCCATTTAAAATAGGAGGAAAGGGGACATCAGAAAAATAAGAGGCATTAAATGCCATTCTGGAGGTCAGGGAAGAGTGGCATAACCTTAAAAGACTTTTGTTTACTTGAAAGATAAATTGAAGCTTAGGGTCTCAAACAATTCACTTGAGTTGGAAATTGTACCCCTGTGTCCTATCTATTCTTAGCCACTTGGCTTTGTGAAGTAGACCACCCACACTTTCTCTGAATCATTTATTAAAATCATGGACAGTGAGGGTGGGAAATATTTCTTTTATGGTAAAGATCACAAAGAGCAAATAAAATTTATGATTGCTAAAAAGCTGAGATATTGACAGACCAGTTTTATAGTGAAAATTTATATTCTTAGGCACAGAAACACACATAGACTAGCAAATAATCCATTTTATGAGATTGTAAACTCATATTTAAATATATGCACAGATATTGATACACACATATATGCTAGTCCTCACTCAGAGTTCTTAAAGAATTTTCTATATTCATCTCCCACTCATCATTCATATTAGTTACTGGAACAACAGAAATGTAGCTGATGTTATCATCAGTATTCTATATGCCTTCCTGACCACTCAGCAACCTTTGACACTGTTGACTATTCCAACCTCTTGAAACACACTCTTCCTTTAACTTCTATGTTATATTGCTCTCTTGTTTTTCCTCTTACCCTTTGGATAGATTCATCTCTATCTTCCATGATACTCACCTCATTAAATACTAGAATTCCATAAGACTAAGGCATAGGTCAGGGAGCACTGGTGGCATGGTGCCTAAGGCACTTGACTGCTAACCAGAAGGCTGATGGTTCAAACCCACCAGCCACTCTTCAGAAGGAAGATTGGGCAATAGACTTCCATAGTGATACTGCCTTGGAAACCCAAGGAGGGGTCGCTATGAGTCGGAACTGACTTGACAGCAGTGCATTTCCATTTCAAAGGCATAGGTCATCTTCTCTTCTACTCAATCCACCTTTCCCAAGCAATCTTATCTAAGACTATAGTTTTAACACATCAATAGGCCAAATGGATACCTCCTGCTCAGACTGCACCTCTAAGCTTAAAGCCATATATTTAATTGCCTTAATGACATCCTCACCTAGATCTCGCCAAGCCCATCTCATGATCCAAGGTTCCTTATCTCAGTAAATGGTATCATCATCCATCCAGTTGTGAAGACTCTGAGTCATATTTAATATGTTTCTCATATTTCCCTTCAAATTTCATCAAGTCAGCTTTCTAAACTGCTTCTAAATTTCCTCTCTCCATCTTAAAGACTCCCACTCCAATTCAAAGTACCATCATTTCTCAACTGGACTACACTAAAAGTCTATAACTTGGTCTCCCTGCATTCACTCTGAACACCTCCTAATCAGTATTTCTCCTTCTCTCCCACCCCAATCTTGCACTCTTTCAAGGACCTGCTGTCTATTTATAAATATTACAAACACTGTAAACATGAGTGAACCTTTCAAATTTAACACTTACACATCCCACCTGTTGATAAACTTGCAATGGCTCTCCAGTATTTTCAGGAAAAAGACCAAAATTCAGGATACGATCACAAGGTCTTGTACAGTTCAGCCTCTGCCTATATCTTTAGCCATGGGGCCATCTCTGTCCTCCACGTTTTTCATGTTCCAAACTGACCTTCTTAAGTTTTGAATGTCACCATCTTCATTCCTGCCACAAGGCCTTTGCCATAATGTGCCTTCTGGCTAGCTTCCTTACACTCTTCGCCCAGTTAATACTTACTCATCCTTCAACTCTTTGATTCCAGCTTCATTTGGAAACCCTTCCCCTAAATCCTGTCTAAATCCTTTTCTTTCATTATATATTCCTGTGAATTCATGTTTTTATTCTTGAGAACACCAACCTGTCTCAGTTTGTGATTATACATTCATTACTACAATTATTTAGCATTAATGTTTTCTCCTCTAACAGACTGAAAGTTATATGAGTAAAGGGAGTGTGTTTATTTTTGCTCAATTCTAAATCACCAGTAAATAAGTAGCATAGTATCTGGCACACAGTAGGCATTCTGTTAATACTTGTTTAGCAAAGTAATTAATTTCTTGAGCACTTACTATGTTTTAGGCAATGTGTGTATATGCCTTACATTTATGATCACAATAGCTGACCTCGCATATAGCATGCTGTAGCTGAACTATAGTACTGAATTGGCAATTGCAAATAAGATCATACAAATGCAAACAAAATTTTGGGCTACAACTCATTTCTAGGATGAGGAGCCCTCACTGCTGTGATGACAAGGAGCAAACCTGAAGAGTATTCCCATCAGGTATTCCCTTAAAGGGTATTCCCTTTAAGAAGTCTCACCAGCATTAACTGGGAAAGTCTAACTCTCTCGTTCTATAAGAAAGATGCAAAGAAGGAAATACATGGTAGTAAGTTTATTTCTCTGACTAAAGAATAATAGCATCAGATGAGAGAACTGTGAAGCTAGATTCACCCCCAGATAAAAGTTCGTACTCTGCCTCATTTCCAGGGATTTCCAAAGTCCTTACAATGGCAATACCTCAAGCAGCAAGAGCCTTGCTAATATCACAGCTGAGAGTATTTAGGAGAAATTGGGAAGCCTTTTCTAGGTTTGGAATACTTTTGAGCCTCTAATGAACATTTTGTTGTTGTTGAGGAAAGTCAGTTAAGAAAAACATTCCAATTTTGATTGCACATATAGTCAGCAGGCCAAAAATACATCTTAATTTGGTGTCACAATAAACAGGATTTTTTAAAATCAAGGTCTGGCAATCGAAGCCACAAGAACAATTTGAGCGACTTTATAAAATGGTGCTACTGTAAGCTTCCTTAGCAGGAGAGTGCCACCTTGGGCCCATTGAGATAAATCAGAGCTAAGAAACATGGCAGGCGCCAAGAGCAGGAAGTGCCTCCTTTCCCTTGTCCCCACCTCCACCATGCACAGTCTCTCCGAGGTCTGCTGTCCCGTTTACAAACAGTAGAAGAAGCTTCAGGGTATAAACAGAAATGATTGCAGGATATCCCAGAAGACATTTCTAAAAGGGCTGCTTGCCCTTTTGCAAACTACAAAATGAAGAGCGGAGAGAGGGGCTTCCTTCTGTTTTCTTCTTCCATTTTAAAGGCATGTTATTAATACTTTAAATGACAGGAATGATTAGGATGGAGTTAACATAAAAAAAATTAAGCTGTAGGAATCTAACACCTACTTCTTAATTAAGGCCCAAATATCCTTAAGCATAATAAACTCATGATGTCAGTGGTTCGTCAAACAGTGGGGCCACCTACACTCTTTTCAGAGCAGTGGTATCTTCCCTTGGCCCCCTACATTCTGCAGTTAACTCCAGAGCAACCCTTTCCACCGAGTAAAAGCACTATGCTCATCCCGACGTGAAGAACTATAGCCTGTGTGGATGCGTGTCTCAGGTAGGGTTCACATATAACCGACCCAAGGCAATTAGCTATACCTGCAAAAATAACCATTCCAAAACACCAACTGGTGTTTCTCAGGACGCAGCCTCTCAGGATTATCTTCTCATTTTTCAGGGAGTACTTGCTGTCTTTCCAAGAGAGGACTCCTGTGAATTTATCTAATTTGTTGTTCGGTGCCTCACAGACAACAATCCCTGTAAAATAAGAAACAAATCCTTTTATGACTCACCTCAAACTTTCCTGAGAAGTCCATAGTACTGCTTTACCCCCCTATTGCTAACAGACAGTACATTTCTCCTCTCCCCGACAGCATAGTGTTACATAGACAAGATTGTGCTAGGAAAGGAAACTGGGGGGTACAACGATGGAAGTTATCAAATTTTGTGAAACATAGCTTTCCGCACCATCCAAACAAGAATAAAGGGCTCAAGAGCTATGGAGTACGTTTTTTTCCTTAAAAAAAAAATCACATATCTCTTCTCCTAGTGTCCTAAAAGGTTTCTTTTTTCCTTATTCTATTTCTTTTAACTTAATGTGAACTTGCAGGTGGCATACTTTCAGTTTAGCAACAAAGATTAATTCAGTCTTTCCATGTGCGTAATCATACTATTGGGGTCCTACTAGCTTCCACCCCAGAGAAACTCATACTATTAGGGGTCCTACTAGCTTCCACCCCAGAGAAACCTTGGCCTTGTTTGCCACACGTGCCAGAGAATGTATATGATTCCTTTCAGCTGTTCTTTGCTTCTTATCTTGATTAGATTCGGAGTTGTGGGGACTCTCAAAAGCACCATATAACTTGCCCCAAACATGACAGAGATGTTTTTAGTTCTTTTTAAATTCCAAACCCATTCCAAAACAAGGGCATGCCCATTCCAACTCAATGAATCAATTCGTTCCATTATTTCAATAAGAAAATACTCATTCAGGGTAGAGATTCTCTAGATAGAAAAGGAAACCAGAAATAATCTTTAGTGGACCCAGTCACAAAATGTAAGTATTAGATTAAAATACAGTTGTATTGTAAATGTTTGGGGTTAAATTTTTAAAAGTAAAAGAGAAGCAATGAGTTCAAAGACAGAAGAGAGGGAAAACAAGGAGAGAAGAAGGGAGGAAGTGAGGACTGGATGGGTTAAAAAAGTAGATTCTAGGTAGATCCAATCAAGACTCAAGGCAGAGCCAGAGGTGAGATTTGTACTATAACATTCTTCTTCTCAAAAACAATAGAAACCCATTTATTTTTATTAGAAATCCAAAGGACAGGACACAACATAAAAAGTGGCATTTGGAAAATAAAAACAGGAAGTGTGTCTTTAGCATTGATTGAAGTGAAAGAGACCAACTCTGGAGATTAGGGAACCCTCTGATTATACTGACTCCATCTACTCACAAGCTGCCTTCTGAACTTAAAGTGGCTCCTTATATGGGTTCCCTTCCTTCCTAGGATGCTGTGTTTTCCCTTTAAATCACTTAGACATAGGTGACAGCAGCCAGTTTTCACATGGCCTGGTCACATCTGGCCAAGCAGATTACAGTAAATCCCTAGGGTTACAAACGTTTGACTTATAGACAACTCACGCTCACCCTTTAATGTTATGAAAATATGCCCTCAGTTTGAACTGATTGAACCAACACTTACTCAACAAATTCTTCATCACAATCACCTTCACTTGGTGCATGTACAGCTTTTAAATCATTGGAAAGGCTTAGAGCTTTTTCTTGTACTAACCAAAACCCACTGCCATCGAGTCAACTCCAACTCATAATGACCCTATAGGACAGAGTTAAACTGCCCCATAAGGTTTCCAAGGTGCTAAATCTTTACAAAAGCAGACTGCTTCCTCTTTCTCCCATGGAGTAGCTTGTGGTTTCAAACCACCGACCTTTTGGTTAGCAGCCCAATGCTTTAACCACAGCACTACCAGAGCTCCTTCTTGCACTAAAGGAAGGCTAAATAAGAACCATATGCACCTGTTTCCAACTTATCTACAAATTCAACTTAAAGACACATTGAGGAACTGATCTTATTCTTTCCCAGGGGCTGCCTTACTAATATTATTAGCCCTAGCATTGAAAAACAAAAAACAAACCAATAAAACCTTGAGAAGGAAGAGGAACTCACAGCCTTGGACTGTCTTTTCAACCCCCATCTCTCTTCACCCACTATAACAAACGTACCGCCTAAAGGATCCCACTTGGACATTCACTGGCAGCTTCCCAGACATCACTGCTAACTGAGAGAATGCTGGCAGGAGGATTTGGATGAAGCTAAATAACCTGTACAAAGTCTTCTCTTTATACTAATGGAAATGGCTGAATCCTGGTTAGCTCCAATTATAGCCTATCACTAACTTTAAAAAGTAAATTTAAACTGATTTGAACTGGCCCAAGTTGTTTGCGTAACTAAGCTGTTGAAGAGACTTTTTCTAAATTATAAGAATTGAATTTTTTTTTCTTTACCAGTAATTTTCATCCCTTAGAAACTTGAATTTGGTCTCGTCAGCAAGACCTACATAAAATAGCGGGGTCAGCAGCAACCCTTAAAGCTTATTCCAGTTTCTTGACCCAAGACTTAATTTCTTAGGCTTCAAACTTGGCTATTTAAAAAAAAAAAAAAAAAAATGCTTTGGGCAAAAACAACATGATACACAGTCCCTGCCAGTAGGAATATAAAAAACAGGCTCATTTGATCATTTCTATTGTCGCAAGCAAAGACTGACATGTAGGCAAATACAGCCTTGAACATGTTGGCTCGTTCTTTCCTGGCCCCAAGGCTTATCCACTTCTGGCCTGGCACCAAGGGTGTGGTTCTAGACAGGAACAGGCAGAAAGGCCAGGAGGTTCTGCCTCAGTTACTGGAGGCCAATCCCCAATTCAGTCTTTCCTGAAGGAAATCAAAGGGATGAGTGTGGTCCCAGAAACTTAAGTACTAAACAAAGGGCCCAGTCAAAACAAAATGGCAGGAACAAAGCCAAACTCCATTTCTTTCATCATAAAGTGCTCAATTTCTTCTTTCTTAGCCTGTTAGCATAAGATGCAAGCTCCTCAATTTCTCTTCTGCCCTTGTTCAAAAGAGATAAACAGTGTCCATTGTTCAAAACACTCTAATCACCTCTGTATTCCTGTAACTTAGCATATGGCCTACATTATATGATATCTTAATAAACCCCTGTTAAATAGTTGGATGGAAAATTTTCAAATGGTTTCAAGAGAGAAGTTGGGAGATGAAAAGGATATCAGAGCATATCTAAAATGAATGGAAGAGTGGATACATTTCCAGGGTAATAACAATAAAAAGGATTAGAAGACCAAATAGTCCAACTATGAGAAGCTTGGGTTGGCCTACTCTAAAGGGAGACAAACGGATCTGAGAACACTGGAAAAAAGGTGAAAACCTTAAATCACATTTGTTCGTCGTTATGTGCCACCGAGTTGGATCCAACTCACAGCGACCCCTCCTTGGGTTTCCGAGCCGGTATCACTACGGAAGTAGATTGCCCAACCGTCCTTCCAAGGAGTGGCTGGTTTGAACCTCTAGCCTTCTGGTTAGCAGTAAAGTGCCTGCACTACACTATCAGAGCTCCCAAGATGTCAATACTGCTGTCCAAATCCCCATGTCTTTCTTCTTCATGTTCTTAAGAGTTGCCCTGGAGATGGTGATAACTACTTATATTTTTCTTAGAAACAAAATTGTCACCTTCCTGTTTTCTAAACTTCATCCTTCTTCAGCAATCAAGCTTCAGCCACATACTACCACCACCATAATGTCCATGTTAGCATAAACAGTAAAGAGAGAAGTTATTCTTCATGTCTTACATGGAATCTACGTCTCATACAGCCACATCATCTATATCTGTGCTTCCTTCCAGGTGAATGGTAACACTGTCTGGTAAGAAAAAAAGTCCCAAGATGCTACCCAGGCCTTCTTATTTATTTTTTAACCAAAAAGAGATGCTTATTTTTCTGTGTTTTAATTACAGACATGCTATTCTTTAGAAAGGACCACAAAATACACAAAGATTCCTGAAACAAAGAGTCAACCTTTCCCTGGTTCAGAATTCATACAAAATATGTAAACTTGTCATAAGTTGCAAAAAACAGATCTCAGCCCAGTCAGTAACAATATGCAAAAGATCTTTAAATATATTTGCACAATATATATCCAGGGCTTTCTCCAAGACATAAGAAAAGCCAGTTTACAAATATAAAATTGACAAATATTTCCATTTATTTATTTGCAAACTTTTTCAACTCCCATAAGACTTTAACAAGAGAAATCAAGGTCCACTCCACTTATTTTTCTATTTGTTCTAATGTCAGATCAAATTATGTATCTTTTTATATCTATACCATAGCAATTTACTCCTGATGCTTGAAAGGTATAATAATATTTTTATGATAACTTTTCAAAGAAGTGGATTTACCTGCGAAGCCCAACTCTATCTTGTGCTGGTTCCTATGTTTGAGAAGCTCTTGTATAAACCCTTCTCAAGGATCCTGACATTCAGAATCACTAAGAACATTTCTACTTTAAAAATATAATGACAACATCTGCATCCTGGACTCTTCACAGGTTATCCTTAACTTGTTATGATCCACACAGTCAATTGCCTTTGCACAGTCAATAAAACACAGATAAATATCTTTCTAGTATTCTCTGCTCTTAGCCAAAATCCATCTGACATCAGCAATGACATCCCATGTTCTGTGTCCTGTCCTGAATCTAGCTTGAATTTCTGGCAGTTCCTTGTCAATGCACTGCTGCAACTATTTTTTAATTATCTTCAGCAAAATCTTATTTGTGTGTGATATTAATGATATTGTTTGATAATTTCTGCTTTCTATTGGATCACCTTTCTTTGGAATGGGCACAAATATGGCTCTCCTCCAATTGGTTTGCCAGGTAACTTCCTTCCAAATTCCTTAGCATACATCAGTAAACACTTCCAGAATTGCATTCATTTGTTGAAACATCTCAACTGATATTCTATCAATTCCTGGAGCCTTGTTTTTCTCCACTGCCCTGGGGTGGATTTCCCAATGAGCAAGGTACATGTTTTTAGTACATGTGAAATTGTTCACTACAGATTAGTAAGTAAGCACAAGTAAGCTTGTGCTTACCTTGCTTATTGGATACTCCCTGTCCGGGACTGCAAATGTGAAAAGAGACTTTTATTCTAGAGGAAGGTGCTGT